TGAGCCTTGCAGAAGTCACTAACCTCCAATAGGTATAACTTTGCCATGACCACAACTTGTGATTTGCATAACCTTGACAGGAAAGAAAATTTTCTGTCAAAAATTTGCTAATGCTTACTGGAAATTAAAATATTTACCAAATTACCAGGAGATTATGTCTAGTTTAGAACTATATTATTGGTATCCAGACTCCAGTCATAAATCCTATATTTTCCCTATCCATAAAACACATGTGCTGATTTTTAGCATTAGAGTTCCTCAACAATGTATGTTGCAATGTGGATAATTTTCAGGTACAGCAACATTAGTGATTGATTGCCATTAACTAAGGATCATTTGGCTTTAAAATCAGAATAAAATTTTCTGACTATTAATAATTTACAATTTACAAACATGACACTGGTACTGGAGCATGATTGAAAAAGTTAATTGAGTGAAAGTCTGATTAACATACTTAGAATAAACTTTATAGTTTAAAACCACCCGAGTTGGTTCAGAAAGAATGTTGAAGAACATCTTGAAATAATTTGAATTAATTATTATCTTGGCTTGCTTTTGAAAATTAAATTTATTTTTAAATTTTAATTTGTGAAAATTTTGAACTTCATGGAATCTCAGACCAGAGAGAAAATATCCCGCATTAAGCAGTTAATATTTGCCAACAAAATGAAATAATTAGAAAATGAAATCAATTGTATGTGTGTTCAAGTGCTTCTGAGACATGCTAGTATCTTTTACCTGTGTGCATACACTTGAAGCATCTGAGATTTTTGTTTGATGTAGTTAGGTACTCAACATTTATTGACTTGACACAAGCACCTTGAGCTGTCGATCCGTATAAATTTGCTACATTTTCTATCCTAGTATAAATTCAGTCAACATTGAAATTGGTTATTAATTTTATTTGATCTGTACTTCTTCAACCAAGAAATGGATATGCTAAGTAATTCCTTGATATATGAAAAGCCTTATCCTTAATATCACCGTTCATCATTCTGTCTTTTTTGCGGGATCATGTTAAGTGATTTGAATGAAAAATGAGTATAAAAAAATTAGTTCACATTATAGTTGGCAGTTTGATGCAGCATATGGATTCAAATAAATTTAGGATATGTAGAGATCTCTAAGAAATTTAAGATAACTGTGGTGACAAACTTGACACACGTACTTGAGCACGATTGAAAAAATTAATTGAGAGAAAGACTGAATAACATAATTTGAATAAACTTTCAAATTTAAAGCCACCTTCATTCATGCAGCTAAAATATTGAAGAACATTTTGAAAAAATTAGAATGAATTATTATCTTGTCTTGCTTATGAAATTTTTTTATATGTTTTGCTACTTATTGAATTCACGGACTAGTAATAATTTTACTAATTTGGCACGAATACCTGCGCATGATGGGAAAAATCAATTAAGGGAAAGTCTGATAAGTAAATTTGAATCGACTTTTAATTTAAAAGCACCTAAGTTGGTGCAGAAAGGATCTTGAAGAACATCTAGAAAGAATTTCAATTAAGTATTATCTTGGCTTACTTTTGAAAATTAAATTTCATTTTAAATTTTAATTCATGAAAATTTTGAACTTCATAGAATCACAGACCAGAGAGAAAATATCCTGCAATATAAGCAATCAATATTTGCCAACATTCTATAATTACAAAATGAAATCAATTGCATGTGTGTTCAAGTGCTTCTGAGACATGCTAGTATCTTTTACCTGTTTGCATACACTTGAAGCATCCAAGATTTTTATCTGATGTAGGTAGTTTGGTACTCAACATTTATTGACTTGACACAAGCACCTTAAGCTGTTGATTAGTATAAATTTGCTGCATTTTCTCTTCTAGTATAAATTTGGTCAACATTGAAATTGGTTATTTTATCTGATCTCTACTTCTTCAACCAGGAAATGCATATGCTAAGTAATTCCTTGATAGGTAAATGAAAAACCTTTTAATCAATATCACCGGTCATCATTCTGCCTTTTATGTGGGATCATGTTAAGCGATTTGAATGAAAAATGAGTAGTATACAAAAATTAGTCCACATTATAGTTAGCAGTGTGGTGCAGCATGTGGATTCAAAATACATTAAGGATATGTAGTGATCTCTAAGAAATTTAATATAACTGTGGTTACAAACTTTACACACGTACTTGAGCATGATTGAAAAAATTAATTGGGAGAAAGTCTGATTAACAGAATTTGAATAAACTTTTTAATTTGAAAAGACCTGCATTGATGCAGCAAGAATGTTGAAGAACATATTGAAATAATTTGAATTAATTATTATCATGGCTTGCTTATGAATTTTTTATATGCTTTGCTACTTATTGAATTCACGGACCAGTAATAATTTTACTAATTTGACACATGTACCTGAGCATGATGGGAAAAATTAATTGAGGGAAAGTCTGATTAGCAGAATTTGAAGGAACATTTAATTTAAAACCACCCAAGTTGGTGCAGAAAGAATGTTGAAGAACATCTAGAAAGAATTTGAATTAGTTATTATGTTGGCTTGCTTTTGAAAATTTAATTTATTTTTAAATTTAAATTTGTGAAAATTTTGAACTTCATGGAATCACAGACCAGAGAGAAAATATCCTGCATTAAGTAATAAATATTTGCCAACATTCTATAATTACAAAATGAAATCAATTTTATATGTGTTTAAGTGCTTCTGAGACATGCTACATTTTCTCTCCTAGTATAAATTCAGTCAACATTGAAATTGGTTATTAATTTTATTTGATCTGTACTTCTTCAACTAAGAAATGGATATGCTAAGTAATTCCTTGATCTATGAAAAACTTTTAAATAATATCACCGGTCATCATTCTGCCTTTTATGTGGGATCATGTTAGTTAAGTGATTTGAATGAAAAATGAGTATAAAAAATTAGTTCACATTATAGTTGGCAGTGTGGTGCAGCATATAGATTCAAAATAAACTTAGAATATGTAGAGATCTCTAAGAAATTTAAGATAGCTATGTTTTTGGGTGAAGCAAAATGATGGGAATATTTCTTCCATGGTGTATAAAACTAAAATGTTATGCTAATTTCCATGCTTAATGATGAGTATAGCTGCATGTTAATAGGTCAGCCTCGCATATAAAAAATTTGCATTTACTTATCCAATTTCTACAATAAATAATATACTGATCTATTCATTATTTTACTGCATCACCATTAAACATTTGTGAAAATGAATCATGTCAAACGGGATAATAAGGGACGGTTTTAAGCGTTTTTTGTTAATAACTTCTTACCATTGAACATTTCATAAATGAATTTGGGCTCGATTTAAAGGTCTTTGTGAGGCTATTGTATGGCATCTCCAAAAAATTTCATATTCTATTTGTAAGGTGCTAGAGGCAATATAAAAGGCTCCTGAATTAATCTGGAAACGGGGTAATAAGGGACACTTGAAATAAACTCAATTTTAAAACGTTTGAAGCATGCAGAGTGTACTCATCTATTACTAACAGTACTCTGAAGTCCTCCTCTTCCTCTGTAGATGATATAAATGATTTCTCAACTCGCTTTATGCTGCATAGATAGTACAAATGTTGAACTTTACGTCACTATTTTTAGTTTTGCAATATTTTGATTAGTTTAGCTGCTACAATAACAAAAAATATTGGAGGACTGTCCCATATTACCCCGCCCGTCCCTTATTACCCCGTTTGACGGTATCTCAGAAAATAATCTAGAAAAAGGGAAATTATATACTGAGATTTTACAAACTGCATGCATGGCTTAAAATATTTTGAAGCCATTTTCTATCTTGACATATCTGATGCTCATCATTATTACATTTTCATAATAAAAGTATTTTTTGCAGCTAGTGTGCTTTAAGATTTGCTTTTTGTTTTGTTTGGTGGATCCAGATTTTATTCAATTTCACCAATTCCCTCTTGTATATCTATTCAATAATTAAGATAATCATTTAATAATGCAATATCTAAATACATTGTTTGCATGCTACTCAGCAGAGTTTGATCATTGCATCACCGAGATCAAGTTTATAGGATGGAAATGCTGCTAGCCTTACTGAAGATGTGTTGCCAGAAGTACCTTAGTGGTCAAGATTTATTGTAATATATTAGTTATTTTGCAATGGATATCCATATATTGCCATGGCCAAGAATATTCATCACTAAAGCTATTCTAGTATCAAGATGCATGCTCCCTAAATCTAGGTTAATCTGAGAAATCATCTTCAGTATATGCTCCTGATTTTTTTGGAACTCTATACAATATTTTGCAACTAGCCCATATTTATCTAATAACGTTGGTATTAATTCTTGTTACTTATCTATCCATCAAGCCATGTATACATCATTGAGCTAATAAAAACCCGTATTTAATATTAAGTCTTGAGCTTTGTTTATTTTGTTGTTTAAATGCTTATCTTGTACCTAAAATTGAAGCTATTACTTGATAGCTTTGATAAGGATCTGTCATAATTGTTTCATGAAGCATGCATTGATAACCATGTAACAAGTTATTTTCATAAGATGTTGTAGATATGATGCTGGAATTTTGAAATCTCAGAATATTTCCTTTTGTTTTGAGAATGTATATTTTTTTAATTTACTAAACAATTGGGAAAATCTGTATGCTTTTTGATATTAGGCTTCATAATAAGAAATAATTTACTATACCTGTCGACTTTTGTTGATTAATTACTTCGACTTTAGCCATACAATAAAGCATTTTTAGACCAGAATGAATCGGTATATTGGGTATATTGAAAAATGCCAGCTGCATTCCATGAATATCCATTAAAGAAAAATGGTGTCATCAATTTAGTTGTAAGCCACATGATTCACAGCATGCAGTATTTATTAGCTTTACCAAAGCTCATTAATTAATATCTGATACTTGAGTATGAGAGCCCTTAATGTAAGAGTAGACTCAAGTTTTTAAAGAGTTTAATACATGTACAATTTTGAAGCTCAATTTAAAAATTTCAATTGAAAATTACAGATGCCGTGGAAAAAGAAGCCCAAAAGAAAACGCTGCGCATCATGCCATCTCTTTGGTCATGACACTGAGCGCTGCGGCATCACAGATGATCCTGTCGGTGGTGCTGTGGACCCTGAGTCCGCACCTGCAGCTTCATTGACAGCACAGATCTCTAAGGTATTGGTATCCATGCAGTGTTAGCCATCTTTGTGTAAAATTTATAACTATGGTTTACTTTTATTTCCTTTGCTAGAAATATTTACTTTAAATATTTTAATTCTAGGTTAAGAAAAGGATTCATGACATGATTTTACATTGATGACTAAAAAAAGGGCAAGTTGTCCAATTGTAATTTAAATTAATTAAAAAGCTGTATTACATTTACATCATTTATTACATTTTTTGCAGATCAGATACATTTCCATATTACCCAATTTTTTCCCAAAAATTGACTTTTGACTTTATTTTATTGACACACAAAGAAGAGACTTAAGAAGGGGTATCAATATTCTATATTTCTTAAAGTAACGGTTATGACAATTAGTATTTTGCAATAAATATTTATTATTCAAGTTTGATTATGGTCCATAGACAATTTTTTAAGTTGTTAAATAGGTATATTTCATTAGGATGAACTTCATTCATATTTTTAATTTGAACTTTTGAAGTGCATGTGTGATATTCAAATTATTTAGTTTGGACGTGTATTCTGAATTTTTGTTTGTTAGAATTTTAGAATTTCTTTTATTGTTGCCACTCCGGTTTCAATATTTTTCCAAGTATTAGGTAGCATTTTACAATTTCAAAGTAATAGTCTTATTTGGTGACATCCTTTGATGCAAAATTTATTATACATTCTGATGATGATATCCTTTGTTGAGCTCCATGATGCACCAATTGTTATTTGTTGACTTGTCAAATTTCTCATGTAATATGAATAATAATTACAATAGCGGTTTCAGCGTTTATTACCTGTCGCTGATTTTTAACATCAAAGAACATTCACAGGTTGTTACGGTTTCGAACTCACAACTAACTGCTATAATTCTATTTTGCTTAACCGCCCGGCCTCCTCGCCCTTTCTGACCAGAAACTGGCACACAGAGCTGGGATTGAACCCGCACCTCTCTGCTCCAATCTTGGTACTCTGAACTTTAAACACTGGGCCAAATATATCAAATTTTTCTCAATATTTCAGACCTCTGCAGCGGGTGACCGCGTGCATGAACAGCGTGCTACGTCCAGCACCTGTGTTCATCCTGAGGAAGGCTGCCAAGCGCGAGGCGTTGACGTGTCGTACGCGGATACTGCTGGCACTTCAGGCGCTACAAGTACACATCTGTCTTTGGTTAGTTGTCTACATTGTTTATTTGTAAGCTCTGTGCGCTGTTAATGAGTTATCGCGTCAAGCTCATGCAGATAATAATTCGATATGTTAAGTCTTTAAAATTAAGTACCGGTATATGGAATTGAGTCAAGGTCATTTGAGATGAAACTGGATAACGTATCAGTTGAGTTTTTGTATATATAAAGCAAGTTTAAATAATTTGTGAATTGTCATTTAAATGTCGTTTCTACTGCTATAACGTGTTCTGCATATTTTCTGTCCCTGGTGATTTTTCATTTCGTTTATTCAATTTTTTAGTATTACCTGATTTTAAAATATTATCATTGCTATTTGCAGAGTCCTCCGAAGAAGAGACTGAAGAGAGGTCATCCAGAGTTTGCAACTGTTAGTGTACCAGTAACGGCAGTGAGTAATAGATGAATTTTTCGCAAGTTATATAGTCCACAGTTGTTTTGCATGGTTGGCTATGATTTATCACTGTTGTCTGCATTCTAATTTTAATGGGTTTTGTCTATGTGCAATATCACAATAATTTTGTCAGAAATATGTAATCAGAATTATTTATTTGCCAAAAAAATTTTCATCAAATAATAATTAACTTAAGCAGAGTCCTCCTAGGAAGAGACTGAAGAAGAGTCGTCCAGATTCTGCATTTGTTGGTGCGAATATTTGAAGAAAATTTTATTTTTCGGACGATGGCTTATCTTCCACCAATTTTTTTTACCCAATTAACTGGTCTTATTTCACTGTCAGTCGGCATTTTCAGTTATTTTCAATTCAGTTTTTTTCAAATATCCGTTATAAAGTAGGACACTTTTTTCAAACAATAATCTAATTCAATGTCATTTTTCGTGGTGGATGTAAAAATGATTCGCGTGTCATCTCTCATGTAATATAAAGAAAACTAATTTTAATCGATATTTCAGACTACCGCGGATGACTTCGTGTCTGGACAGCGTGCTACGGACCGCGCTTCCGTTCGTACCGAGGCAGGCTGCTCATCTCGGGAAGTTGATCCGTTGCCCGCAGATTCAATCGGACCTTCGCGTTCGACGAGTACAGATCTTACTATGGTGAGTTACCTAAATGCTATATGAGTTATGAATTGGTCAACACGTCAAGCGGCTCTCGCTGATTTATTTTTTTATTGTAGTTACGTCGTCAGGGTAAATCGGTAAATTTTCCGAAATTTATGGGTAAATATTTATTTTTTTATCTTATTATAACGGATACTTGATATATTTAGGTCGCACTTACGCTACTAATAAAGTACTTGGAAGTTAATAAAGTACTTGGAATTATCACTTCGCTGATACAGGATAATTCTCGCTTTGAGTCGGTAACTATCAGAATATTCAATCGATGAACAATCTGTTAACGATGTCATGTTTACCTGTAAAAGGGAATTTTTATATTATTTTATTTAAAAAAATTTAATCTTTTTAGCAGAGAAGATTTATTATATGTAGAAAATTCTTGTCTAAAAGCTTTTTATCACATACGACATGTTTAGTCTGCCTCATATATACTCAGTAAAGAAAAAAAAACGATTATTTACTTTTGTGATCGTGCAATAATCAAGTAAATTTTCTTCACAAAGTTTCACGCCTAAGTACATTTATTCATAATTTTAAGTCATCCTAACAGTAGAAACAGGCATAGAGTAAATTATTGTTGTGAGTGCTTTCGACAAATTCGGGTGCACCTGTATTTTGTTTAAGCGTATTAAGCCTTTACGCTTGATATTTTTTTCATGCCTTATAAATGAACGATAAGTGGAAGCTGTCATGCGCTTTGTCTGATGGAGTTTTGTGCCTCCTAATAAAAATTTTTAGTGGTTAGTTGATAGTCCCTGATAATATTTTTTTTTTGTCTATTCAGAGAGTAACTCGTTCCATGTCACGTCGTCAAGGCGAAAGCGGCGCATTTAGTGACGTTATTCGTCAGAATTCATTGCAAGAGCGTTCAGCTTCTCAAGATCTGTATGTTGACGCATCTCAGTGCTCTAATGAAGACATCGAAGAGGATATGTCTTTGGATTCGTCTACTTCTATGAATGAAGACACAACAGGAACAGGGAACGCTTTGCAGTGTGCGTGTTGTCATCGTTGTGTCACCGATAATTTCTCTCTCGATTTGAGAGAAGTGAACATTGTCACCAGGCGATTATATGGTGACCAAGACTTGTTGAATGTTGCGCTCCTCTGCACTGAGTGTGCCGCTTATTTAGGGACGCGCGAGCCAAACCCACAGTGGGCTCATGCTTGGCCGGCTGTCATATTCTCCTTCTTGACAAGCGAGACGCTGTCCTTTAATTCACAGAGACTAGTTGAAATTTTACCGTGCACCATCAAAGAAAGTTTTCGGCTCTTAGTCCCAAGAATGAGCGCTAGAATATCAGCAGTGTGGGACTCTCCTTCGAAATCCGATGATGGCACTCAAAAGTTGAAAGAATTTAGGAATGATCTTTTCAAACATGCCGGTATATTGGCGTCAAAATTGAATTCAACGTGTTTCCCTTCTGTGAAATGTCCAATGGGGTGCAACACTTACCTCGATGGAGACGTTGGAAAGGACGTCGAATACCTGCCATTTGTGCATTATTTGGGCTTTATCTGTCCCAAATTCACATCATTTAACGCCAATGCAAATTTTTTCAGTGGCATGCGTCCAGATTGGCCTAGCCAAGGCATGCACGAGGGTTTCATGTATGCCGCTACATTAATAATTGACGAGCAGAAGGGACTATGTGTTGTGACTTGCGCAAAAAGAATACACGCAGATGGCAGGAGTTTGTATATTCACGTGCCCTGCAATCCGGTCCTGGGTAGCACGTCTGAGCTTCGTCCCGACCTCATTGCTCCCTTGTCTGCAAATCCGCATTTCGTTAGGGCTGGTCGCTCTAACGAATTCAACAGCAGCCATGTCGTCTTCCGCGAATACGGCGATTCCAGCGGTGCCTCGTCGTTTAGTCTCACCACGAAGCCTTACGTTTGTGGACCTTGCACTGAACTGCAAATTGATTCAATGGGCCTCAGTTTAAATCAAAGACCTGATATTTACCATTCGTTAAGAGAAGGTGAAACTCTGCCTAATGATTTGCATGAAGAGTTGAAAGAATCTTACGAAAAGTTTCCTTTGGACGCAGAAACTATAAGGAAAGCCAGAGAAACAGGCACCTACGTCAATGTCCACGACGCTTCTAATATTTTGATGCAATACAACACTCGTTTAGCTGCAGGTCCTCAAGATGAAAACCGCAGGGAATTAAGAGCCAAGGGGAAAGAAGTGCTTCAAATAGTTCATCCTGGTAATAATGTAGGGAGGTTGCCGTTCAGATTTTCTCGCCTCAGTAAACGCAATGGTGTTAATCCCAATGGTTTAGTGATGCACATGATGATCNAACAAGCTATTTGGCCAAATATGCCGCAGGCGCCGATGAAAAACGTGAAGTGGTTATCACCGCCACTGGCAAGGATGCTACTGTAGTCGATGTTGAACCTCGCGATCTCTATCATGCCAAGATTTCTGGTTCAAAAATTGCTCACGACCAGAAAATGAAAGCTGAAATGGCGAAGGAATCATTATGCCGGGAAATCACCCTCACCGAAATGCTCTGGTTTTGTCATCAACTCCCTTTTGTTGTTTGCTCTGCTGATTTCGTCCATTGCTCAACACATGCCCCTGAACACAGGCAAGCAGTGTATCGTAAACACAGCGGTTACATCCAGAAATTAATAAATGAAGACGGCACTTTGAAGGGGATATCTCTGCGAGCTGGCTTCCCAAGTTGGCGACGTTTCACAGGGTCGCAAACTTTGCTCATGAGTGAGATTGTCAACTCTCCATACCTCGTTGATAACACCTCCCTCTTCAGCGTTCGTCCCCCTGAGTTGCGCAAGGTGATGAAGCTTGGCGACTATTTGAAGTGGTTCTCTTTTACTTCGGCAAAAGTCATCACAGTTTCTGAAGAAGTCAGTGAGTGCCCTTGGATTGATGGCAGCGGCAAGCTAGTTCGGGTGAGGAAGAGGTATGTGAACGATGTCCGTCGTTTCTTCGAAAAGCTAGCTAACCGAGCTCACCTTCGTCCTGGAACCCTGGAGATGTATGGACTTTTCGAAGCCCTTCATCATGAAGTTCTTCAGGGGAGTAACTCAAATTTTGTTACTCGATTTGTTGATATGAGCGCTGACAGGGATGTGATAGTCGTTTTTACCGCTATCGAGCCCACATCGATTCATAAATTTTTCATCCATCTCCTGCTCACCCTTGGGTCATTTGTGACCGAACTTGACATTTTCAGGGGCCCTACTCTGTTGCATGCTTTTCAGTATGCCCATCTCATTGCCGATGCAAACAATCCGACAGAAGAAGAGGCCCTGTCTATCATCAGACTGTACGTGATGACTCAGCTGCAGTCTTTGCCTTACGGTGTGAAAGGGTTTTCGCGGCTTTTGAGTCTTGCCATGGATGGATTATTATGCTTCTTTCGCACAAAAGGCGTCGATTACGTTGAAGTTCCGTTGGCGTCGATGAGAGCGATCAGAGAGGATGCTACTACGAAATTGCATGAAATGGAAGCTTCAAGAGCTCAGACTTTAGCTTCTGTTCTCCAAACATCAGGCATCAAAAATTGTCCCGCCCCAGCTATTCTTGGCAGCATGAAGAAATTTGATTTTGTACCGGAAATTGAGCGCTTGCCTGAACAAAGCAGATCATCTTATGCGGAGCAGATTGTGTGCCTGAATGCTTTGGTGAATGCAATTGACCGATTTGATCGTGTAGGGCCGGTTTTTGTGCCATGTCCAATTATCACTGGACCTCCTGGAGCTGGGAAGACTCACCTATTACTGACGTCTTGCATTTACGCGCAATCGAAAGGCTTAAGGACCATCATCACCGCCGCCACTGCCGAGCGCGCCCGAAGTTTAGGAGGCGAGCACATACATTTGTTGTTCGCTATGCCAACAGTGAAAAGCCAAATTGAATGTGTGCCGGTGACTGCGGAAAAGTGTCTTCTAAACCTGAGTGCCAGCCCAGTTAAAATGGCATACCTGAAGAGACTTGACGTGCTGGTGGTGGAAGAAATTGGTCTCTTACCTGCCTCGCTGCTGAACATTATCGACTTCGTTCTACGACGATTGAGGGACACCACAGTTCCGTTCGGAGGTGTGCTGCTGCTTTGCTGTGGTGACCCTTGCCAACTGAAACCTGTGAATGGACGGAGCATCTGGCTCATGCCAAACCTTTTCACGATGTTCCATGTACTCTGCCTGAAACATTTCGTGAGGTCCAGGGGTGATCCCGAACTCCAAACCCTTATAAAATGTATTCGAAAGACTAGGTTAGACGACCACGATGTACAGGAGATCATTGCAATTATAAGAAACCGATGTGCACCGCACCAATTTGTCAAGAGCTGGGAAGACGTACCCGACGAGTACCAGCGAGTCGTCGGCAAGAATTCTGCGGTCGATTATGCTGTCAGTATCTATTTGAAGCAAAAGAAAGCGACGCCTGGTCTTTCATACATCGTACAACAGGCACACGACGAGGTAGAAGTAATTGGAGGCAATTGGATTACTGCCAGCGCTGCTGTTAGCAAACAACTGACGCGGCAAGTCAAGGAACCGTTTGAGCTCCTCCTCTTCTGTCATCAGGTTGTCAGGCTCACTTATAACCATTCCACGCCAGCCGGTAGAGTTCCGAAATTTAGCCAAGGCCAATTGGCCGTTATCCTCCAGTTGCCAGACCTCAGTCTTCCTCGGCATGCTCAACGAATCACCATCAAATTGGTACCGCCGGGAGTCAGAGTGGTATCCGTGGATGCTTTGCCTGATGAGTGGCCAGTCTTTTCATTGGCTAGGAGGTTTACGATACCTCAGTTAATTCAAGTCCACATGTCCAAGGCGAAACGTGAACAGTGGCCATTCGCATACTTCGTCTGCACCACTGTTCATCGAAGCATTGGGGAAACACTCCCCAAATTAGCCACGCAGATAAGTTTGGAACATCCGATGTTCTCATTATGGGACAAAAATCAGTTACTTGTCATCTTGAGCCGAGTCCAATCCCTTGACGATCTTCTCTTCGTCGGGGATGTAGTTGACACTTTGAGAGCCATCAAGAAGCTCTTGCAAGTGGTTGATCCTTGGGGTGCTTTCATAGATGGGATTTTGGTCGCTCGTGACAGCATTCGGGAAGGAGATGGAATAATCCCAAGCACTTGTTCTTATCCGTCCATACCCGCCTGTGTCCCAACGACCGATTCAGGATTCATATTCATGGTCGTTAGCCTGAAGCTTGACTCGTACCGCATCGATAAAGCACCTAGTTTGCGGCAAGCTTTGAAGCTTTTCAACGATCCTCTTGCACTTGCGGCCACAAGATCGCTGAGACCTTGGGCGCTGGCGTGCTTCATTACTGGTTTCACCCAAGGCAATTACGACGATGGACTGACGGACTTCATCAATTCCTGGAAGGCAAGGATACAAACTGAACACGGAAATGAGGCTAGGAGTCACCAAGCATTGACTGTCGGCCTAAATTTGTTTGCCGAGGAAAGGCCCAGACAACCCACCTTGAAGTGGCAGACATGCTTAAAACTCAATGAAGAAGAAGTGTCCATTGGCGGTGGCGGAGAACGTGCATTGAGCACGCATTAAAGTGGTGAGTATGCTTGTTTCGAAAAACTGCCTTTTTATTGCATTTTTTTGCTATCGTAATGTTTTTTATGTGATTCTCACTGTATTCCATTTAGCTGCCGACGTTTGTTAATGATGTGGGAAATAATTACTTACAAAATTAAGCGAACTCAAACCAAAGTGATCAGTTGTTTGCCGTGGTTTTTTTGCCACGCATTTGTAGCTGAAGCCTTGTAAAACTTTCATATTGTTCTCCAGGTGCGGACATTGTTGCCACTATCGTTGCTGCGCATTTCTTGCTGCTCAGTTACGACGTGTTGTGTGGCCTAGCATGAGCTCCCATTCATATATTTTACGAAGTAAGTTTGGTAAATATTTTTTATTTCTCATTCGTCTGATATCGTATCGTTTTGGAAAATTTTTATCGCAATATTAGATTGAGTGCTAAAATTTTATTTTAGGAATAAAAAGTCGCTTGCTATATATTCTTAATAAAACTTCATGTTTCTTCAATGTATTTCCAAACTGTTTGATGGACTGTCGATGTTTATCCTCTTCACACATTTGTATCTGAAGCTCTGTAAAATTTTCATCTTGCTGTACGGGTCGCAATCGCTTGCTGCTCAGTTACGACGTGTGTCATGTTGCCTAGCGTTAGCTCCCATTCGTATATTTTACGAAGTTTGGTAATTATTTTTGTTACCAAACTTACTTTCTAATTCGTTTGATGGTGTATCGTGTTGGATGACAGTTTTGCTGCACTCGGTTGTGTCCTATCATTTGGTATTAATATTAAAAAAAATTTTGATGGATGAAATGCTGCTTCTTATATGTGAAATTTTACGTTTTTTCAAGTTATGAATACCCTGTTAGAGTCGATCGAGGTTTTATTTTTGTCAGACATTTGAAGCTGAAGCATTGCAAATTCTCAATTTTCTCTGCAGATGCGTGTATATTGTCATCACTCTCATCGTGGCGCCTTTCCTGCTGCTCAGTTCCGACGTGTCATGGAGCCTAGCGTGAACATCAATTTCTGTATTTTAAGCAGTGAGCATGTTTTTTTATTATAATTACTCCATTTTACATTGTATTGTTCACTTTAGGATGACATTTTCTTCTATTAGAATCTACAAACTTTTTCAGATTAGCATAGTTTTTTTCTTAATGAAGTGTTGGCTGTTGTTGCATATGCGCACAGTTTGGTGTATGTAATATTTCTATTGATTTTGTCCCGAGTATTAATTCCTAGAAAGTTGTAACGAAATCATTGCTTTTTCAGGCGTGGAATTGTCTGCGTTATTTCTACTCATCATACCCTGATGACCACGGGGGTGAAGCCAATGTGAGGGATGTCATGCTGCAGCAGTCTACGAGGCTGGCTTGAAGTTGTCCAGCGACTTTTGCATCATGTAGCACGTGATGTTGCCTTCGCAAAGATCTCGTGACAAGTGCGAGATGATGGCGCGCGTGCACTTTACAGTGAGTAGGAATTGCTCCAGATCGCTGTAATTCTTATCTCTCGGTATATTTCCTTATGTTTGCGATTTTCATTAGTAATGCTTTCAATGGCATCATCGTTACTTTTTATTCTGCTGCATTCTTCATTGACGTAGTAAAACATTTCTATTCGCAACAAAATAATTTGACTTGTATTTTAAAAACTGTTCTTATGTATTCTTCCTGTTGGGAGCAGGTGCTGTCATTTACAGCACCTGCTCCCAGCCGCGCGCAGCGTGGCCACGATGCGTTTTGCTGCAGGTTGTAAGCGACGTAAGTCGCAGGTTCGTTAAAAGATAGAAAATGACTCGTGTCCATGAAATTAAGTGTCATTTTATAGTATTGATCGTCTACAAGAATCCTTGAATGAGTTGAGTTGTTTATCGCAGTTTATTGAATCGGCTTATTGATCTGAAGCGCTAGAAATCGCTCCCATCTGACTACTTGAATCGGCTGAGTGGTGTCACTAAAGATACTTTGAATGTGTCATACCCTTTTAACATGGATTCGTTTACTTTTCATGACCGAAATTAATGACCGCTAGTATAATAATAACGTTCATATTTAGTTTGAACAGCAGTTTCCAACAGAACAGCTGAGATTGGCGGATCTGGTGCAATGAAAGCATTTTTTGTTATTATATAATTATTTTTATTTGTCATTAGCCTGCACGAGCGATAGCAGTGAGCTAGAATAGGAACTGACGGGTGTACAAGTTCATCCTGGAAACCCATGTAATTGTTCATTATTAAGTTTTTACTTTGTAAAATTGTCACAGATCTGTTTCCAATAGTAGCTCGGAGTGTACACTGAAATTAGATTTTTGACTACGTGCGTATTCATTATCAGCTCTTTTTAATTATTATACGCTGTGTCCCTTTTGAAATATATTTTTTATCGTTCATACTTTACAAACTAGTAGTTTGTTATGTTGTAAAAATAGCTATACGGTATTAGCCGTATGTTGTAGTTGTGGAGTGATTTAATGGTATCAATAATATATTAATCAAGTTATTAGGATTATGTTCGTTGAACTCGACGACTGAATTTTAAGCTTCAGCTCGTTATCAGTTGACACAGGATTGGTTCTTGACACATGATTTGGTGAAAATTTTACACATGTTCCTGAATGATTCTTCTGAAGTGAGCCCGCAAGATGTAAGCTAAATGATGTTAAAAATTAGTCTAAGAAAGTAGTTTTGTCGATGAAACTTCGATAAGTGATTCCTAATTATTAGTTGTGTATTGTAGATTCTTTCTAAGTTAATGTTAAGTGTAATATCATCAGAATTACACTATTGTATATTATTTTCGCCTATAACTGTCGTTTGATAAAAAAGTTTACATGGATTTTGGAAGGATTAATTTTCCTTTGGAGGGTCGTTTCAACCATGCAGATTTCCTCCTGGGCTGTGTATGTAAATTAAAAGTAAATCTTCTCTCGATAGATATTGCAGCAATGGATCTGGTTCCCTTGTAATAAATTGTGATTCAACGTAATAGCCGTGCGTCAAATTTTTTGACCTGTAATTTAATAAAGTGTTGGGTCGAGTTTCATCATTTCAGTGGGTTGGAGTTTGGGCGATGCTATAAAAGTGACTAATTTTAGCTGTGAAGACCGCTGTTGTCAAAGCCGATAGTTCACGCTCGTCTTGCCATTCAAACCACGGAGTCATTTGGGTTTTCTTGCCTAATTTTGTGATGCAACAAATTTCATATGGATTGAATTCCGGGCAGAATGTATTCGATTATTGAATTTACGAAGTGAATATTTGAAGGGAGCTCAAGTTTACCACATTACGGCCGCAGGCGGTAGCCGGCGTTGTGCTGATACGCCCTGGGTACCCACGTCTCTTGCATGTGCGATGAAGCACCTGCAGTCTGGTAATTCATGATTATTCTACTTAGCGAGTACTTGAGACGCCTCGCATCCAAGCTTCAATGACATTCCAGTAGATACTTCAGGATATCTTGGTACTCTAAATTTAAAATCGTTCGATCAATCACGGATAATGTGAGACATCAATCCGTGTAGTTTCTAATAACTTCAGAATTGGAAAAGTTTCGACATAGCGACGTTCGTCCTTGCATGGTTGAGCCTCTGCGCATCAGGCGCACAGTGGTCACCGCCTTTCCCTGCACTCTAAGATCACTGTCAGCTCCTCTCGACTGCGATAAATTGTTCTGGCTAAGCATGTTACTATCATTCAAACGATACTACAATGCGCGATTAGCGTTCGGCTTATCTAGTTCATGACATGAAAATTCGGTCAAGGTACACGAATGTAGAACTGCATGGATCTTGCAGTTTTGTTCACGTCACTAGTTCTGTTACACAGTTTGAAATTTAAAGGAGACTAAAAGATACGATGGCAAAGGGTCCTGCATCACAGATGATTGCCAGAAATCGCTACCTCTTTTCATGCAGGATCTAAGGTTTCAAAAAATTTGTTCAACCTACAACCGCAATTAGCGTTGATTCCAATCTGTATCCATAATACCCTATGTTTACTATTATTTCAAAATTTCAAATCTACTTGTTGCAAAACTTTTCCAAAATGTCCCTTGGAAACCTGATATTCAACTTTTCAGTTCCTATCAAGAGCCTAATTCGTCGCATAGAGAAAAAGAATAAGAAAATTGTCAACCTTCAACCATATACTATAGTAGATTGAGCGTTGGAAACCTTTCAGTGAAGGTAAAGGAAATGACTGCAGGGGGGTTCAATCTCTATTAAATGAAAAAAAAACGAAGTCATATTTGATTTTATTCGCCAAGGATTAATTCTCCTCTACCTCCAACGTAATCTCGTCTTCATATATATCTTCTTGTCCTTCCAACGTTATGGCCTCGTCTTCCTGTTCCCGTGTGCGTTGTTTCTTAGTCTTCGCCGCTTGCAGGGTTTTACGTCGCGTGTTACCAGAGGTGCCAGCAACTGCTCCGATACTGGGTCGGTGTACCTGAACTTGAAGTTCATCATCCGAGGACTCGGTAAGGTTTCCGGTCATGAAACGAGCCATGTTAACATTAGGCACGGCGGCGCTTGGGGTGGCTACTGGAGGTCTACGAATCACAGGAGTTGGCGGCTGGATTAGTTCGTCATTTCTAAGGAGCTTGTTGGGCCGAATCGTCGAGATATGGACATTGCGCTTCTGCGCGGCGGCCTCTCCTGGGCATTCCGCCGTCGTCGTCGACAGCTTATACCAACCCCCAACAACGAAATTAACTCCCTTTGCAGCAAGTTGCTTCATTAGTTCGGTTATTCCTTCTCGGACCAAGTCTTGGTCGACGTCGTCTGACTGAAGGTGGAACGATTGTTTAGCACGCTTAAATTTATAAAGGTTCTGTTAAATAAAATTAGTAACAGAATATAGACACTAATTATTTATCAATCATGAAGAATTAAGGAAAGTTCTGTCTTTGCTTTGCTAAAGATTGAGTTGAAGTCGTTCATTGTAAAAATGGTTGAAATATATTTTCCTACATGTATGCTAATTTTTTCATTTATATCTCTATTTAATTCATATTCCTATAATCTTGGCATTCGCATTTCAATAAAATATTTCAATTCAAGTATACTGCAATTCACCTGTAGGACCGTCTTCGAGATGAAAAGCTTTGCCAGCACCTCACTGCAATAGTCCACACGGTAGATACCGTGCTTTCGCACGGTAACCGAGCACTTCAGGGCTTTGGCTCCTGCTCGGCCCCCAGCCATTGCCGGACACTTCGCTTCACTTGACGTGGCTTTTTCTCCGCTATCGCACATAAGCGAGGAGCATGCGTTCACGAGCCCCGCAGCTTCAAACTTCACTCTCGCTGCCGGTACTTCAAGTAGGAAGGTTTGCACAGGCTCACTGGCTGTAACTCCACCGACCGTACTGTTTAGAGAAATGAGCGAAGTTGATGGGGATAGGTCAATGGGCACAAGTGATGTTGCCGTTTTCAGCACAGGAACTCCATGAATTGAACCATCCGCCTGAGGCTCGTAGATGGCAACCCAGGCACCGACGAATGCCACGTTCGGTATTGTGAACAGGCGATACGCTTCCGTGTCGTTGGCAGCGATTATGTAGAAGGCCTTGCCTTCTTGCGGTTCCCTGTAACACGACGATAGAGCATTGTTACGACACTTAAAAATTTTACAATGGTTTTCATTCATCGCGGTTAACTTTTTTTTTCAAATTACTTGATGTCAACTATCTATGCAATTAATCAAATTCAGGAATAATGATTGATTGATAGGTCTATAAGCAAGCATACGCTTTTCACCCGAAAAGAATATTTTCCAGTACGCGTCACCTCAATAAAATAAGCCGCTTGTACGATGTTAGTGGCTTTCCTAGCCGCTGGTAGGCCAACCTCTTGGCGTTCTCCTTATCTTTAGGATTTTTGATCGACATGATTAGCCCGTATACCACACGCTGGTCAAGGCTAGGGCAGTCCTCGTCTGAGAGGGAATCGTCCTCGTGGTCTCTGGCTTCCTCGTTCTTGAGTTGAGACACCGTTGCGTACTGCCCCTTATCGACCACGTATTGGGCCGCTTCAAGCCACCTCTTCTTGTCTACTAAGCTCTGCACCGCGTTCATCTGGAAGGAGAATTTCTCGAGATGATCGTGATACGTAAATTGTCGAATATTCGCTGAACTTTCTGGAATTATATCTAGTAAAATTATTTGCACGGATTATTCAACATTGCGGTACGATTAACTATATTAATCGAAGTTCCTAGTTTTCTCCTCAAAAAGAACTAAAATCATCCCCGGGGCCAATTTTTCACCGAGTAAAATTGGTATTTTAACCCAGCCTTTTGAATATTATGTCGCTATGCACAAGATAATGAATCTTAACTACAGGGCTGGTTTTAAACTAAAAATCCTGAGTTGTTTACGCGTGGACTGCCAGACGAAGTTATCGAAGCTATGTTGAGAGTAGGAGTGCGTAACACTGAAACCTGGCAAATGCACGTTGCCTTGCACCTTTTGGAATATCTTACAGCAAGGAAGTTTTAGGGTTACGGGAGACAAGGTCAAGAATTGAGAACATTGTAACTATATTGAGCCAATTTCTGAAAGTATATTCAATGCTGCTTTGATAGAGGGCTTCGAAGGGAAGAAGTTTTACCATAAGCACCATTCTTCACGTTCAATTAAGTACATAGCTGAAAGCTGTAATTTAATAGGATTACGCCACAATGAGCCTCCTCTAGTTCTATTTCCTTACAGTGGTGCGGCGACTGTCAAGGCGGTGATGGCAAGACACAGAAGACAGGGACAGCTGCTTTAATCCAAAATAGCAGGAAGTGCTTCATAAATGTATAGCTACCTTCTTACACATTGGGAAGTATTAGATACTTTCTGATAAAAATAAAGGGCGAAATACCAATTACGGTACGCGAGTCCAATTGCGACTTGGCGCTGAGCTTTCATCAATAGACCCACCGATCATGAACTTAAATTTTGAAAGAAAAGTTTAGAAATTTAGCGAAAATTGCTATGCATGTATATGTATAGCATTTCTCAACACGGCAGAAGTGGGCCTAAATTGCAACTGAATTGAGGGCAATAATTCAGTTAAAACGAAATTCTGTCAAATATTCGCAACGCAGAAAGAGTAAAGGCTAAAATCTATTTGACTATAACCTGTCGAGGTTATTACAGACAGAAGAGAAGCAGGAATTCGTCCTATTGAACTTAATGACAAGGACCGTCAGGTAGGAAATTTTCAACTTACGGTGGTGCGAGAGTAGCTCTAGAACGGTGGTGAGAGAAGTACCAAGGCTGTCTGCCGAATCCTATCATAGGAAACAAAGAAGGGTAATGCAAGGTTCACATGAGCATAATTCGCTATCGAGCGGAAAGACGATCCAGAAAATTGTGAACTGAACGAACTAAGTTTTCGAGCTTTTTATCTACTAGTTAAAGCTATTTAAACTGAACCACAATAAGTTTCTAGATTGACATTAGAATATGTAAGTATGATCATATTTAGTTCACGATCGCTCAGTACATTTTGGCTAGACACGGAATTTCAACTATGAAGTTGGACGAGAAGGTTGCGATTAATCAGGGCAACGATATGTAGCATATATCAGCAGCAAAGCGGCCTTCGATAGGTATTTTTTTCTGAATGTGAATTGAAAACTAACTGTAGTTCTATATAGTAGTACTAGGTAGTTCAATAATGTACATTTGACTGAAGAGATGAGTAGCGCTGGAATTTTGCACTGTAATATTATGGTTTTATCATGCACGTGATAACTTTATACCGCCGATTGATCAGCCTAGACCACATTACAGTTATGGTGTTTCAGGAAAACTATAGCCTTACGATGGTGGGAGGAGTGATTCGCTGAAAGCCGCAGGAACAAGGAGCCGAAGGCAGACGCGTCACCTAGAATCAGAAGCGGGACACTCTTAGCTAATGGATATGCATATGTATTGGCATTTTAATTATTTATGGGAAATCGCGACAAATTTCAATTTACAGTACAAGAGCCCTTCCACACATTGCCCTATAAATTACTGATTAAAATGTTTAATGCAATTGGGATCATAGAAACTAAAATTATCGAATCCACATTTACACAAATGGTTACATTTCAATTCAGTGATACTTACTCTTCAAGTAGTGTCGTGGACGAGAAGAAAGACAGACGGCACACAGACACTAGACGGCACACAGACACTAGACGGCACACAGACACTAGACGGCACTGAAAGTTTCTCAACGAAGTAAAGCTTTTCGGTTGGCCTGCAATGCCTCCAAACTTTTGAGTTTAACGAAACGAGCCAACAATTTGCGGCAAGTTGAGTCGGACACGATGGTGCCGTAGCCTCTTCTTTCCCCGGCATTCCTAACAGGACCAAAAAGATTCGATCTTGGCAATCCTTTCTAGCAGGAGTCAACAGATTTGATTTTCTCAATCCTTTCTAGCAGGAGTCAACAGATTCAATTTTCACAATCCTCTTTAACAACAGTCAGCAGATGCCTCCTGTAATGAAGCCTCTATACTTCATTGGGGTTCGTTACGCGGATACTTTCAAACATCTGCTAACAAAGCTAATTTTATTGAACTAGAACAGAACAAACAGTAAATTACACAGTGATATAAATGAAGATACTGGACAATCTTGATGCCATGCCCAATAAAACAAGTCACAATGGGTGTAACGAGGTTGTGGCACTTCCCAGCTGGGAACTATCCAGAGAAGATCTTGGATCGTTCGGTCCCGAAGACAGCCCGCTCCAGACCCGCAACCCTACATTGAAGATAAATACCTACATTCAAACAGACTACTTACTTTGGCACATACATAACTGAATAAACAAAGTGTTATCATTTTATATCCACATAGTATGACACAAGAATAGCAAATTTATTGTAACAATTAACTGGATCTAGTAAAGCAGCTCACCAATAGAGGCCGATTAAGTTCACTGGGAACACAGCAGAAAAGTGGCCCATTCAGTCAACTAGGCCTAGAAATGGGTTGTTCACGGGAGGACTGCTTCGCAACGACTGACCTAAGGCACAGTTTTGTAACTCGTGAGAATGATTACGAGTTGTTGCCATATAAGGTAAAACTTAAAACCTTACACCTCCAAACTTTTGAGTTTAACGAAACGAGCCAACAATTTTCGAGCCAAGTTTACTCGAAATACTCAAAGGAATTAAACACTAAAAATTTTTCAAAAAAACGTGCGATGGTAATCTATCATGCCCGACTACAATTGTGACGGTTTAACTGATCAATTATTTTCCATCCAGTAGTTTTCAAGACATGGAAGTCGTCTCTTCTGGCCGTGCTGGACAAGAACCTTCGGTTTTTGAAGTCGTTTTGTGCGGTCCATTTCTGAGACACTGATGAGAATCAAGTAAAGTGTAGAATCAAGAACAAAAACCAGAAGAATCGAAAAATCAAAAACCAGTCATACCAGATGACTACAGGACTGGGCACCATGTCATTCCACTCGCAATACTTAGGAATGCATGCAACAATTCCTGCAGCGCACTTCACAAGATTTCTGGCCTCGAAATTCACCTGAACTAAACCAAATACTAGTGAAGGATTTATTATTAGAGCACACTGGATATTCGTCAAGACAATCGGTTCAAAGTCGTCTTAAAGAACCTCTCCTTGGTGGTAGCGAAGCTTACTCCAGGTTTAGATGTCAGGAACGCCAAAGCACAAAACCATCGCAAAAATCCCGAAATAAATTCAGAGTTGTTCCTAAGACTATTTATAGCGAATTCAGCCTTTTTTGTGAGCTTGAAACGCTTGACACGTGGCTTGCGTATCGAGATTTTGCCCCAATGAAGACATGACATAAATAAGTTTTAAAGGCTCATAATTTAGTGGCGGGTCAATAATAGCGACAGATAATAAACTTCTGAAGAAATACTGAACTTCCATATGAAAATACAGTCGGTTCGTGTATATTGACAAGTAATGTAAAAATACAAACAGATTATGAGCCTATTGGCTAGCTATAATACAAACCCAGTGATCTACAAGCTGGAATAAAAATTATTGTTCGTGCAAGATTCCAATTATTATACTGGAAATACGGCCGGTTAATACACGACTGAAAGCAGATTCTACTAGTACACTTAGTACCTGATGAGCCANGCTTGGTCAAGTAATTCGTCGTAACTTGCCATTTATGTTTATTTCGTCGCAACTCCTACCATTAGCTTGGCCAAGTAATTCGTCGTAACTTGCCATTTATGTTTATTTCGTCGCAACTCCTACCATTAGCTTGGCCAAGTAATTCGTCGTAACTTGCCATTTATGTTTATTTCGTCGCAACTCCTACCATTAGCTTGGTCAAGTAATTCGTCGTAACTTGCCATTTCGGCTGCAACTTTGCCACAGATATTGATGGCACTTCATTCTGTTTCTAGACCAGGCTCCATCAGTAATTCCAGCCAACTTATGAGAATGACGTTAGAGCTAAAGTTGAGACTATTCGGGCTACACACTTTGAGTGACATAAATATTGAATTATAACCAAAAATTAGTAAGAATATTATCGTGGATATTCATCATTATATCTCACCATGAATATTGCTCTGTATTCCATATCTAGGTATCACTAAAATTTAGGTTTTCACAGTTATCTCAGGCGAAGCCAAACATTTCTGATATGTGATAGCTTTTGATGAGTCAAGCATCACAGGTGAAAAATAAGGGAAGAATTTGAAAACATGGTCACTTGAATTCAGACGTTAGATAAGCTACTGTGAACTTACGTCAATGGGAATGTCATAATTCATTCTAATGCATTGATTACAGCTTCATCCTTGTTATCTATACAACCCCACAAAATGAATTTCACAGGACTCAAAGTTTTATCAAGAGATATTTGATCATTTATTTTTCATGAGGTACAAAAAAAGTCAAATACTTTGCGCTAATATCAGCGCCAATGATTACATAAAACAGAGCTTGAAAATATACCAGTTTTTCGTTTTAAAGAAGGAAATGGTTGTTGAGTTAAAAAACGATTTAAACGAGCGAATTTAAAATAATATTTTATTTTAGAATGGATGTTAAATCTTGCAAGTAAGTTTATTATTACAACAGCCACCTGATATTTTTATGTAATACCTTGAAATATTAGGAACTAGCAATTATAAAATTGATAATATTATTGAGAGCTCGCGTCCACAAAGAAGATATTATTATTATAATAAAAGTCTCATCCATCACAACAAATCCCCTGACTGGACCACATTAATTGAGTAATTAATTATCAAAAATTCAAGGTTAAAATGAAGGCGGACGCAGAATTCGAAAGATAAATTGACGGAAAATTTTTGTGAGTCAAACATCACTTTATAAGGAAAGATGTTCATTTTATATCAGTATCTCCGAACATATATTTTATATTTAGTTCCTATATACTCGTTTATAAACAAATTCTTCTAATTTAGTTTATTATAAAAATGATTGAGTTTGGAATTTATGAATGCAAATTTTCAATAAAAATACGAGCCTTTGACGTTTAACTGATATAGTTTTAAACATGGATCGAATAACAATATTTTCAACAAACTTAAACACCCTAAACAGCATTATATTTTCAGGTAAAAATCAGAGAAAATCAGACTGTCACAGTGGAATATCGCTACTTCCCCATAGCGGATTTGTCTCATTGAGTAGAGCTTCCTAAAGTTCTCTTGATGTTCATTTTTCAACAAATGTTGGACGACTCATTCAATATTCGCGATTTTTTTTCATATAACGCTCCGCAAACAATTTAAAATTGAGATTTCTAACAAATCAGGCATAAATTCGTGGTTTTTTACAACACTTTACTCGATAGAATAGAAATTGAACTTCATTTCTATCACACATCATTCGTAAAAAAAGCCTCCGAAATGAAAGTTCAATGAGAAGTTGAGAACACAGTCGTTCCCAAAGGCTTCTCACACATGTTAAACTTGTGCAGTGCGTGTAATGTTCAGCACAATACCCATACTCACACACTAACAGATATACTGCCGATAAAATAACCAATATCAATTTGTTTTAATCCAAATAGATATATATATGTATATATTCAGTTCTTGTCAATAAACTTGCACCAAAAGTAATTCTCCTGCAATGTAGTATTTATTCTCTTTAAATATCCCTACAGTTCGGGTCTTCAGAAAGACGTAGCGCTTGCATGTTCCAGTTGACGCCCAGGCTGTTAATGGCACGCGCTTTTGTCTCGAGGTCGACAGAACTTTGAAAGAAAGAGTAGGGAAGTTCAGGTGAGATTTAATGAACGTAATAGAAGGGCTCGCGTTGCTCAATGGAATCAGGTGGCTTGATAGACTTGAAGGCTGGCAGGCAGCCTGCGTCTCGGTTTGATCAGATTCCAAGACGCGCTTTTCAATGATTTCCGTCCAAAAATTCCAAGATTCTCCACAAATAGAACCTAAAATTGGTGAGATTTAATGTTACAATTTAAACTGGGTTCAGGTTTTATTGAAGGTTTGCAGATAACAGGAGATAAATCAACCAAACATTTTACCTTCTTCTGGTGATAGTATGCATAAGATTCTTCAGGTTTGAAAAAACATTATTGCTAGGATTTAATAATTTTGTTTCTAACGCGAGCGAATAAATTTTTTCAAGAAAGATTTGAATGCAGAGTGAAGACGTTGACTTCTAATTTGGGATGATGATCAAAAGCTTACAATATTTCGAATGGACATAACTTAGCAGTTTCCTAGTATACTGGAAGAAATTCTTATGAAATTATTTGTGACTTCACAGTGGGTAAATTCGTGTAAGACCATCTCCTTTTAAAAGCTATACGGAATATTTATCTAATTTGTGTCTGACATTTCAACATCACAAAAAAATCTATAATACATATAACATCAAAGTTCTTCATTCATTTTTATGAAATAATGATTTATGTACAAAACATTTGAAATTTTCCCAGTGAATGTCACATGGGCTCAACATGCGCGACGTTAATTTTGATTTCGTGACAGAAATTTTGATGACCAACACACAGAAAGATTTCCCAACGGCACACTTGAACGACATTAAAATTCGGACTTAATATTGAGGAGAAAAAAGAATGTGAAGACAAAAAATAAAGAAGAATTGAGGGAAAGAGGAAAAAAAATATAGCAGGATCAATAGGAGCTTTTTTGCTGTAGCAGAAAACTTTTTGTAGCTTTTA